AAGAAAGTTTTGTTATAAATGGATTGTCTGAGAAGATTAAAAAGTAAATTTTATTACATAATCAAATCCAAAGCGGATTTATCCTATATACCTATATGTTTTCTTTAATTTAGGTAGGTAAATTATACTTACCGAAAACTAGATATATGCCTGGACTAAGCCGGCTGGCAAAATGACGGCTTACAATATCTAAATGTATATGAGCAAAAAAATTAATATATCGATCATTCTATACCACACTAGCCACCCGGGTGCAATGTATTATACATATAAACCTTCCTCTTGAATCACTCTATCTAGTAAAAAAAAACCGCATCAAGATCCGTTGCGTAGTTTTAAAGATCTAACCATACGTAGGGACAGACATACAGCGGGACGTTTTTGTTTTATACTATGTAGTGATGATACTTATTCAAAAATACAAAAGCGAGCGTAGACACTGAGGAATCATAATCATTTTAATGTACAACATTGAGTTATACATTTTGGAGAGACATAAATAAAACAAGTTTGTCATAGTTCGCTCTCGAGACCATAAATCGCACTGATCTTATTTGGGGTTAGGAGATGATTGACAGTGTCGACAGCCCTCTGATATATTGGAAGCTTCAGCTTAATTTAAGCTGAGTGCACACTACAGCGAAGCGTTGGCTATCTGAGATTTAATCTTAACTGATGCCGAGTGTGAAATACTGAGCTAAAATACCTATATAACTTGAGTTGACATTCAATGGCGTTTTAGTAAGTAGATGGTAATTAAGGTGCCGGCCGTGATTAAACTAAACTCCGCAATCTCTCTCCGCCTGTCACCATGTATCTCATGAACCCGGATAGTTAGACAGTTGAAATTTTAGTCACAGATGACGTATTTCTGTGCCGCTATAGATACAAATACTAAAAGAAAGAATATAAAATATTTAGGTGGGGCTCCCATACAACAAACATGATTTTTTTGCCGTTTTTATAGATAATCCGTACGGAACCCTTCGTGCGCGAGTTCGACTCACACTTGACCGGTTTTTTCTATAACACCTTGGGTGAGCCTTCCGGCTTTACCCTTCTATTGCTACCCTATCATATCTGATCCCTGGACGACACTCCTCAGCAAATGTAGCTGCGTGACGTCTTTCGTTCCCTATTGGTTCAAAACACTATGTTATTTTATCACGATTTGGAGGATTTTATGTACGATATCGCGCTTTTGTGTACGATAAAATTTAAAATCCATCCAGAAAACACAAAAAATAATTAACCGTGCATTTTTGCCCCTTCGATACAATTTAGTATGTACATGTGAAATTAATATGGCTAATTGTTGTCTTAGCACTTCCTATCTCAAGTTGTGTTCGTTCTTTCTTTACGATACGTAGAACAAGACAAGTTCGAATGACGCGTTCATGTGCCTACAATATATACATTTGATAAATAAGTGGCGCACTTGCAAAAGTATTGGCTTGTATAGAATCGGCCTCGTCGTCGAATCCAATACTTTAGTTGTCTTGGGTTAGATTCCCATAGTTGTTCCAGATCTGGTTGTGTGGCTAGGTGATGTTTCTTAAACGCTCCAACAACACGGGATAATGTTGTCCTACATTGCAAGAGCATTGTTTTAAAAAAAAAATAGAAAATTAAAGTAAATTAACAGCCTATACATATTTCACTGCAGACCAAAGGCCTCCTCTGTACATAAATATCGCACATATCAATTCACTGCAATTAAAATGAGTTCATTCACAATTGGACACAACAGTAAAAACGACCACGCCTATTACGTAAGGCCACATCTCATAGCAGCCTCATTGCAACTGACGCAAGCAATTTTGTGACCACGGCTTTACAACTCGCCCGGGCGATGAAGTATAGCCGTCGTGCTATAACTCACTGCGCCTAAGTGGAATTTGCGGTAGGCGGATTTGGTTATTATATAATAACGTCATACCATTAATGTGTAGTCTAGCGGGTCTGTCTGTGTTGAAATTTAATCTACAGGGTAACTCCATCGCTTAGACTGCAGTGCGGTAATTGCATGTTAAAAGTGCCTTTCGAATGGAACATTTTACATGCATAGATATATAACCATAATGTTACCAACAATGTATATGCTATAGATATTAGACACGCGTGGGAGTTGCCCAAATAAAATATAACTTAGGCACTGTGCCATTACGAAAAATTCATTTCATCTATCGATAGTCGTATTTTTAATCTCCGTTTTGTAATGAGGTTCCTCTAACGGAGAAGAAACAGACGAAAGAAACTCACTTAAAAAGTTTACTAAAGTTTACTAAAAGTTAACTCTTTTTGCCATTTTTTTTCTTCTCAAAACAATATCGATCATCTCATTCCCAGGGTTAATTATCATTAATATGTATTAATTTATATTATATGAACTATTTTAATAGAATTTTTCTTTAATACATTTCTTAAACCTGTTAAAATGCAATATTTGCGGCAGGAATTGTTTTAGATGTTCAAATTAATACAAAGCGTTAGGTCCGTTTATTAAGTTGTTCATAAATATAATTAAGCTGGACCCGGATAATCAATTTAGTACAAAAATAATAATTTTAGTATGTACGTACATTAACTAAGTTCTTACGACGAATTAGTAATAAGTATTTAACACGAATAAGTATTTTGATAGCAGCAGTTCCTTATATCTTGTATGTTCCTTGTACCTTGATTGTGCAGATAGACGTAGATACTTTTACTTGGGATCTGTACCAACAATTCGATTATAGAAAATCTCCAAAAAACGAAGCCATAACTTAAGACATTAATAACGGTTTAATTAAATAACTTGAAATTTATAAATGACAAAAACTTGTCATTGGTTGCCGTGGTAACACAATAAAATTGGTGTCGCTTTTAGGTATCGCGAGTAGGTAGCAGGCATTACGTTAGGTCTAGGCATTGGCCCAAGCCACACATGTCCAGATTTCGATCAATGGACTGTACAAAGGAGACATTGTGTATATCAAACCGATAAGTTTGATATACTCAATGTCTATGTTGTAAAACTGCTAGTATTAATGTCTGTTGAATGTGAAATACTCAATGTTCTACGAGTAAAACTGCTAGTATTAATGTCTGTTGAATCAAACAAGTTGGACAAATATCCATTCACAAGTCGCTCCGTGCGCTTTCACAATTGTCGCCGTCTCGCAACTTTGCAGGCGAAAAAGAGGGACAAAAAGCAGTAGGTTGCACATTGTTTCGTCAGATAAGGACTGTCCGGACAGCACAATAGGGTTGTCACTTCTCCGCGCGGAGGGCATTTTCCCAGATTGAGATAATAGAATTAATTAAAGCCTTTTGTGATGTGTTATCAAGAATTATAAGAAGCTCGTTTGATTTTTATTAATATTTACATGTGGTCATAAATTAGACAATATTATGTTTAAACAATTATTATTCATCATAGTATTGTGATTATAAAATGAATTTATATGCAGAAAATGAACACGACTGTAGAAGTTTTAGTTATATATAGCACTTTATAATTTAGTAAGCAAATTGGACACTACATTGTTTGATTTGCTTCTGTGTTATGAATTAAATATATTTTTAAAATCCAAAGATATGGTGGAAGACAATAGATATGCGTATCTAAATTGAAATAAAACATACAAATAGCAAAAACTGATAAAACCATACACATTATGAAAAGTAAATGTTAAGAATTTATCTCAGATACTTAGATATTAATGACACAATAATGACACTTACGGTAGGTACATAAGCAAAAAAAAATTGTCCAATCAGCTTTTTTTTTGCATTATTTTAAAATTAGTGATTTTAATATAATAACAAACAACATCATCGTTCATGTCTATAATATTTTCTTTTTTTCATCGCCTCACACTGCCTGACAGAACCGAAATTGTTTTTTTATATACCTATATTTATTGTTCAGAAAACACAAGATAGAAAAAATTATGAAAAATGAAAATAATGTACAAACGGTATGCCTAACACCGAATTTATTTAGCATTGCGTAGAATTACCTTCCTATTACTATTGTTATCTAATAGCGCGTCGAACGCGTACGATATTACTGTGTTTAGGCACTGGTAGTCGTGGCAACCGGACAGACGGCCACGTACTTCCCGCTTCCTGTCACAATGAATCAGAGGCGGACAAAGCACAGACGCGCAATATAACAAAGTTTCCATTTCCAACTGCGTACTCGTTGGTACACTGTGTCCTCACTTCCGCAGGGCTTAATCGGGAATAGACAAAAGCTCTACGCTCGAGCAGTGAAAGTAAGTTTAAAGTTAAGTAAGTTTATAAAGCGGGAGCTGAATTGCACTCACAAATGGAACGAACAGTTTTGTTTAAACCGATAAATACTGAAGCCTTTTAGTTCTTGTATGTGAAAATAACGTTTTTACGTTCGTTCTCTATGCGGTGCTGGTCGTTCAAGCAAACTTGAAGCTCTGTACGGAAGTTAGAGCTTTAGTGACGTTACCTAGTATATTATATTTAACGGGATATTCCGCACTGGGGTTATGAGTTGAACTACACCCAAATAACCTCCGTTATTTTGTTATTTACTTTCTCTAACCGATATTCAGTTTAGAGTGACGACCAGTGGAAATGGGCGGGAAGTCGATGGATGCAGGTGAATCATTGGTGGCGGTCTTGAGGGAGACTATGTTTGTGACTCAAGCAGGCTGAACTCGTGGCCTAGTCAGAACCCACTTGACTTGGGTAGAGCCACCCACCCATATGCAAGTGCGTGGGTTACTTTAAACGGGAGGTGTGTTACTGGCCATCGAGGTTCGATACAGAACGTGTTTCTGATGGCCGCCCTAAAAAGGGGGGTGAACCATTTGTACGCGTTTTTCCGTGCTAATAGTATGCGAGGATGAACTAATTGGTTTTGTTGTTAGTGTGTTTGAACTATGTGTCCCTATAGCGTTGTCTAGCGCGACCCCCGGTACGACGATGAGGGCGTTGCTCGGGATACGTTTGTAAAAGGTTGTGCTTATTCTTTACGAAGGCCTTTGCACAGGAGTGGGGCATATAATGTAAAGGCCGGTTACACAAATGGCGGGTTCTTCGTCCCGCTTGGCACATTCGACCGAGTACTCGATCGAGGTGGCAATTTGCAGCCCGTCACGTGTCACCTGGCGACGCACATGACATATTCATTGGACAGTCGATGAGTCACCTAAGCCTTTCGGCGCTTCGGGCCGGATCCATTGTTCGAAACGTCCGCGATATTGGCATCTGTGTAAACAGCGTTATATAATATACTTTATAGCTCTAGCCGGCCCGACAGGTATAATTCGCCATATATTTACCGTGTCACGATAGGGAACACTTGTAAAACACAATCGCAATAGTAATATTTTATGCGCCGTGTCCTGTGAATATTGAGATATCTGAATGAACAAGTACTTTTATTTCAATAAAATATACTGGTTGTTACTCAAATATGCGTTTTATATATTTCTATTTACCCATTAATTACAAAAGTATTTAACATTTTGTGATAGAAGTGAATAATTAAATTACGACCCAAATCGGCTGAGAAGTCTCGGAATGACTTCGTCACGCTGATATCTTTATTGATCTTTATTGATTGAAAACACTTTCTGAAATTAGACGGCCTTAAGTCTTAATTTTGTTTATTTATTTTTCTAACCAAACGGAGATTGGTACTCTATTGCATTGTATACTCAACGTATATATCTCTTTAAAACATATTACAGAAACGATCCCGGAGTCCGGTACAGTTTCCGGGACAAACACAAACACATTTTGATAAATAACTAAGACTAATAGGGCGGTAAAAATAGAATTTAACTTCGCACAAATTACCAATCCAACGTTTGTCTTTATTACGAGTAAGGTTTTGGGGATCACGTACTGAATTTTAAATAATATAATAATCTATAATGTAATCTATATGTAACGGTTTCTATGAATTTTACCCTAAAGTGCATAGTTTCCTAGATATCGGTCAAAAACTATTTTTCACAATGACGATTCAAGCTCCACCGGAATCTGTCAGCATTTTATGATTTCGTACGTAGTGAGTGATTCTAAACCTTACAATTAAAAAGTATGGGTGTACTTTAGTGCTCATGTAAGAAGTGACAAAAGAAAAATAACTAAAAATTAATATTATAGTTTGAATAAAAAATTTGCAATTATAGATAAATGTCAAAAGGTTGTTATTCGTTACCATGGTGATACCGTTCATCATGTCACTTTTTTGATCTGTACTTGGATCGGTAGTTTAGTGCGAAGTTGAGCAAATATAACACGTATAATTATGTATTAATTTAATTTACTAGTCTATAATATATGTAATTCGACGTTTAGGTGCGCCGTACGCATTCATTTTCCATATGTTTGACATTCCACACGCGCGTGTCATATAAGCTTTCAGCAGACGCGTCGCATCCCATAATATCGCCGCTTGCATCCGTACACACCATTTTACACGTATGGACAAACTAGCTGCTGCCCGCGACTACGTCTGCGTAGAATAGGCTGAAGGCGTAACATTCAGACAGAAAGACAGATGTACATAAAAATAAATATATAAATTATAGCCTATGTATTATTCTGATGTATAAGCTATGTTATTGTAAAGTTTCATTAAAATCCATTCAATAGTATTTGCGTGAAAGAGTAACAAACATCGATCCATACATACAAACTTTCGCCTTTATAATATTAGTAAGGATACTTGAGCGTGCGACAATCACCTGCTCAAAACTGCGCAATAAAAATGGCGTCGATACGCCGCAGTTTGGGATGCGCACGCGACCGGAAAGCTTGATTATAATTCCGACCGCCCCGCAGCGAGCGCACGCGGCGAGTTTTTGCAATGGCATCGGTGAACTTAGACGAGACGAGTAAAAACAGGGCTACAACAAGCAATGAAAGCAGGGCACGTCTTTAGTTAAGCGAATCTAAGAGTTAGAGGTACTGCAAATCATTCTGTGATATATCTTGATGATACGAAAAATCTATAGAGATAAATAAAACCGAACATTGCACTTCATGATTGTTCCTACATCGCGACTAGATAGTGTCACGGTGTTCGTAATTGAACTCCTCCGAAACGGCTCGATCGATTTTCGTGAAATTTTGTGTGCATATCGGCCAGGGTGGAGAATCGGACAACATCTATTTTTAACCCCAAATGTTAAGTGTGGTCCACCCCAAAAATTTTTTTCTACCCTACACATAATTTGTATGGCAGAACAACGTTTGCCGGGACAGCTAGTATTAGATAAAATTGCCCTTACTTTAGAACAATATTATCTTATGTTGTAAGGACGTTTTACAAACATAAATTTCACGCGGACAAACACCCAGATGCGAAACAACTATCACATTATTTGGGTCACACAAATAGTTGTCCCGAGTGGAAATCGAACCCACGACCCCCGACGCCGAAGCCAATACCTTGGCAACTGCGCCACGGAATCATCATATCAATATCTATGACAATATGCTAATTATTTATTAATTAATATTAAATTAATAATTGGCATATTGTTTTTTACCACAAGTAATAATTAAAAGAAGTTCAAATACAATAATTAAAGAAACATAAACCTACAACTAAAAGTAATCACGCTAGTAAGTGGTATTATAACGTAGGTACGGTATACGTATCAATTTGAACGTCGAGCAGGAAAACTGTTGTTATTTTGTCAACGAACAGGAAAACCTCGGAGTCTAGTAGCAAGCAAATAGACCGAGTGCCCTATAGATAGAATTTAAGAACGTTCGAAATATTTCCGTATTCGCCATGGAATCTTCGAGAGCGCACGTGTCACGTAGGACAAGTTTCCATTCGTATACGCGAGTGGAATTGCTACATGTTTGCGCTTGCATCTGCAGGCTACTAACGATTTAGGATTGACCCCTATACTTATTAGATTTACTAAGATAAGTTCCCAGGATGGAAAGTGGTCAACTATCAATTATTCCAGTCTAAATTGTTTGAAGCAATGAGTTTTCAAGCGCTCCAGGTTCTATGAAACCTTGGGAATTTTAAGCTGCATAAGACTGAATAAAATACGAAAAGAGAGAGTTTAATATAATGGTCGGACCTAGAGGTATCTACTTCATCGCTTGTTTCAGCAATAAGTTTCCGTGCCTGAATGGTTTGGTTTTACGAAACAATTGACCGATCATTCACCAAATTGGATAAGGCTCGAACGCCAAATCGATGAGATTATCTACGATCTAGGGGAAGATAGATTACTTAACAAGTTGTGACTAAATCCGTCGCTATAATAACGAGAAAAATCATAGGATAGAGATATAATAGAAGATAGAAACAAACGAAGAATTATTTGATATTACTTTCACTTTTACTTATGTTTTTAACATTGCCCTTACCTTAAAAAGCATTAAATTTAACAAGATCCAAATATAAAATGCCATAATCGATTGACCGGCCAATGAAGCAATTTAAAAGTTTTGTTATGTTAATTTTTACAGTTGCATTACAAAAATTGGCACGCTCGCCAGAGGTAGAAGGCTACACAAATAGAAGTTAGTTATATATTTACTTATGCGTTCCATCTGGCGAGTGAGATAACAGACGTCGTTTTAAAGCCTGGCAACACATTTGCAATTCCTCTGTTATATATGTCTGTCTATAAGCGGCGATAATCACTTAAGATCAGGTGGATCGTCTGCTAGATTGCCATCTGATCACATAAGAAACATCTCAGCCACCTAAATCGTCAGCCTCATCGAGTAAACCAAATTTATTACAACCGAGTATATTACAAAACGTAATTTATAGATCGTACTCGCTCAGAATATTAATAGGGCCGGCATTGGACAATTCTAAAGGCGTGTAATACAAATCAGTTAGAGTTATATAGAGAATCATTTAGCCAAAGAGCGGGTAAGACAGGCGCGCTGGCTTAAACCGGTCTAGGTCTCTCCCCCACCTGGTGCTACTTGACCTAGTCTGAATTCACAACGAGCTAGTACCTAATTAAATTCAACTTTGTACAGTATAAACGCTTTGCTAGCTTCAAGTGTGTAATACGATATAGAAGTAATTATTACCACAATTGAATTAATGATTCTGAGACCATGAGACGTATTGGTGTGGATGAGACAAATTGATGTAATGATGATGATCTGGTATAAATCTTAACTGTGTTTTAATAGTTTCCACGACAACTTTTTATATGTTATTTATTGGCATTGTTAAAGTTGCCTCTCGTACATAATTAGCAATAAACTCCAATATCTATCAAAACTTATGACTATCAATGCATTTTTAAACTCTGTTACAACTTCATTTTAAGTCTAGTATAGATATATGGGAGAGCTTACGATCTTATATGGCTTAATCTGTCCAGCCTCCATTTCCCATCCATTAGCCGACGAAGCGACAAGATTATAAGCATCTTGTAAGCAATCAATCACTACATTACTTCATCCTTGTGACGACAAGCGTTAATATAAAATAACTAAACCGAAATAGCAACTATTGAGCCGTATCTTTTTTGTTTTGGGCATTTGGCTAAAACTTTTTACTTTTTGGGATCAAATCAGCTTAATTTAAATGAAACAGCAGATGTTTGATTTATTCATTTTGATTGACCGTTATGATGCTGCGGTCACTCGCATTACCATTACAATTATTACATAACACACCTTACCTTCAAACGATCATATCGTAACGAACATTTGCAAAGTATGATTTCCCAAAAATTCCCCTTACCCCAACCAAAACAATTTGAGTAATATATCCCCAACAATTATTTATATTAATTCAGTTGAATATCACTGTTTTAACATGAACAACGTAAACGTTGCGGAATTCCACTCGCAGCGAACAATCTTAAACGTTTAGCCGGCGTAATGTCGACATACATAGTTCGCGAAATGAACATCCGAGGCTATTGCGGACCCTCAGCGACCGTGTAAGAGGTCTCACTAGAGTCTTACAAGAATCTCGATCGGTGTAAGCGACGAGTGTTAGCGGGCTAAATCTAAAAACTATGTATTATGATCGGTTTATATACTATTATTTTTAACATGGAAACTTTTAATTTAATGAACATAAAAAAAAGAAGAATAATACAATATTGGGATTGCCCACACAAAAAAACGACGTTATCGATGATTGGTCTCACTGAATTGAACTTTGTCTGTTCAAGGCGGAAACGGATGGTATATATAAAGGCCCTATAGGGTGGGTATACACAGCATCTTTTTTAAAACTATCGACAGTCCTCCTTTTGCCACATGGAGCATAACATCTCATGATCGAGCTGAGCGGCGTCGATCTAAACTATGTCCAACACGAGACATCCATATCCCGGTGATAATCATGACCGTGCCCCGCTCGCTCCCGTAGCTTGGACCGACCGTCCGAAGGCGGGATAATTCCGCCGGTGGAATGGGGACGTATGCTGGTGGCATTACGCAACGGGTCAACACCGGTCTCGCCCTCGGCCCTCCGGCTATTTCGGGACCGGACGACGTCCGTTGGCGTCGCTAATAAAAGCCCGCCCCTGACGAGGGTTTATCGCCCCCGACGCCCCCAATCGAGGGCCGTGAGCGATTCGGTACAGCGGGACCGTTCCGCGTGTCTATCTGACGCCCTGAACGAATTTAATTGAAGTTGTTTCTTTCATACCTATACTAGATAACAAAAGAGCTATCAGCTAACCTGATAGATATTCCAGCTGATTAGAGAATGCTAATACCCAATAAGCCGAACCACTGCAATCCCTATTTAAATTGTATATAGTAAAGGACAAAAAAATGAATAAAAAACAAAGTAGACGATTACCACATACGCATCCGCAACACCAGGAGAATATTAAATGCATAGCCTGTCTTTCAAAAAGAATTTAACAGAAAGCATTCTCCGGACAACCTAAGGGGCGTTAAAATAGTAAAAATGAAATAGAATAAAATTATAACAGTTTAACTTGTGACATACTTATCGCGTATATTGAAATAAGTTAGACAAAAGCTGGCAAGAGTAATTCAGTTTAAACGAGTTTTTTTTTTATGTGAAAAGTTGCCACACGAGCAGACGGTTCACCTGATGGTAAGTGAATACCACCGCCCATGGACATCTGCTACACCTGAGGGTCACAGATGCGTTGGCAACCTTTTGAAAACTGGGCTCCGGCCACCTCACTCACCAGACGAAACGTGAAAGTGTTACATTACATCCACTTTACGCCGGTCTTCTGTGAGGTCGTGGTACTTACCCGGACAGACCTGCCCATTCGTGCAACAGCCGAGGCTGCTGCATAGCCCTACCACAAGTATATAACCGCAGATATGTTTTTTCCTTAAATATATTATATTTTATTGAAGTTCCGTCAACGACTTGTGTACGCATCAACATCACAAAAGGCGCCTCGGGCCGTGGAGATCGCAAACGTCGGGTGCCTAATGAAACGCCCCAAAGCTGTACGCCTAGCAAGCCTTCGCGCTTCTCCAATAATTAGCCGTCTGTCAATAACACCCCAACAGAAGTCCCCGGTGCAAAGACACCAGTAATTGATTTCGTTACCACGGCCCGTTATGTATGTCATCGTACAATGGCGTCATGACGTGGGTCGTTTTCGCCGGGGCGCTGCCGAAACGTAACAAAGACCGCCTCGTCGGCCGATACCTGCGAGTGACGGAGCTTCGCTGAGCGTGTTCATTGTTTGACAAGAACGTAGGCATTGATATATACAAGAGAGCGACGCAGAAACAATATAGTAGCACGATTAAGCGGCCCAAACAAAATACGCTGAAACAAAAGCGAGCCAAGATGATCGAAACAAGCACAGTTCCAATGCGACGCAGACAAGCATTGGTATATCATATAATAGTATATCATCCAGTTCTGTCATTAACGCACAGACATCTTTATGAAAACGACAACGTTTGCTATATTATTGTCACCTTTTAAGCAGATTTCAAGAAAAACCGTGGGAAAATAGGGTACCTCAATATTTTGATGGGCTTTGCAACAATTATAATCAGATATAATTTATTTCTCTTCGTTGAAGGAGTCGCAGCTATATAAATTTTATACTTTAACAACGACAGTGGGACAATAACAACATTAACCTCAATATTTAAAGTTACCTTTCAAGATATAAGTTAATTTTATTTTTAATATTCAGTATATTAATCGTCTTTAATAACTCATCAAAACTGACGTCATGTTTAAGCAAGCAGCATTTATTGCTAAAACAAGCAAAATGAAAATATATATACAGAATAAAGCAAAATCATAAGTATTTAAAGGCACTGTTTTCTTTCTACAGATCAATAGTGTACGATATAATAACAGAGATAATGAAAGCATAATGTCATACGGTATTTTGCTATGGGGGCATGCAGCCGATGTTGAAACAATATTTATTTTGCAAAAAAGGGCCATAAGAGCAATTTACAATCTTAATTTGAATGCATCTCTGAGAGAGAAATTTAAAGAAATAAATATTTTAACCCTGGCCTCTCAATATATTTATGAAAATGTAATGTATGTACATAGAAACATCAATAATTTTAATAAGAATACTGATGTACATAATGTAAACACTAGGAACAAACACAAGCTTGTAACGCCAGTTACTAGACTCCATAGAGTGTGTAACTCGTTCATGGGACGCTGTATACGCTTCTACAACAAAATCAGTTAATGTGCAAAGCCTATCTATTAAAAGGTTTAAGACATTTATTAAAGAAAAACTTTTTAAAAAAAGTTATTATAATATAAATGAATACATTAACGATAATAGGCCCTGGGAATGAGATGATCGCTCCTAAGCTATTTCTAAAAAAAAATATACATACTGTATAACTATGTATTTGTTGAGTAAAAAAAAATGACAAAAAAGAGGATACCTACGAAGTTTCTTTCGCCTGTTTCTTCTCCGTTAGAGGAACCACATTACGAAACGGTTGTAGATTTAAAAAATGACTATCGATATAAGAAATGTATATTTCTTATTTCGATGAATAAATGATTTGAATTTTCAATTTGAATTTTGAAAAGAACAGAAAAAGTTAAATAAACAGCAATATAATTGTAGTCGTTGTATTGAGGTTTATTACTCTGATTCTTTACAATATTATCTTGATATTAATGTGTAAAATTTCTTAAAGCAATCTGATATCGACAACTGGGAGAGGACTTGACGATCTAAACGCAGTAACATCACTAGTTTCAGGTTGATCTTCGTCATTACACACAAGTGTCTGTCAATTGTGAGCTGGATGAATAAAATAACAAATTTCTAATGACGCAGCGTGTTCAAATCTCAAACGCATTCCGATGCGAACGACCTTCGAGCGTAGTAACTTTGCAACTCACGGCAAAGATCAACAAAAATCTACGCGAACAACCTCAACCTGCCAGTGCGTCAAAACTAAAGAGGTTAAACTATCAATACTTGGCATAAAATTACGTCGTTAAACTAGGCGTACATCGGGTACGAATTAACTAAGATCATTTGATTGATATGTAATAACACGATTGCGAGGATACTGACCTAAAACTGTTTTAAATTCGTTGTGCCACAGGTATCAAAATTCAAATTGCTGATTTTAGTTTAAATTTTCGATTGACACAATAATACAATTATAAAAAGTACCTATCATTTCTGAGGGGTGAAAAACTATATGTTATTTTTTATATCCAAAATCGGTATTGGGGCTACGTGGAGGATTTGTGTAATCAATGTAGTGGCTTTATGTGTGTTTTTATGTAGTGGCGCCCAGCGATGAGATATACCAGATACATAAATGTGGGGAATTTTTTTTTTATATATTTGTTACACAAATAAGGCCAATAAAGGCCACTTGTGCCATAACATCAATTTCGAATCAATCGACGATTAATTGCAACATTACCGGTCTGTAAGCAACAATTCACTTTCCAAACATAGAAACTAGGTATGGCTCGGTGTGGATACCAAATGCTGCTCACGAATGCTCGCCGAATGGCGAGCAAAGCGTACAAATAGTAAATATGACCAATAAAATTATTCGTAGATCTACAAAATGATTACTAGACCCGTCTCGGGAGTGTAAAAATTAGATATCTCCGAGTTCTACTAGATTCTGCCTTTCCAGACGGAAGATCTAAGACTAGGTAAAAATATGAATAGACTAGGTAAGTATCGCTAATAAAATGCGAGTATTTTTCTAACTCGTGACCTGTGAAACTTTAGCAGTAGAGAGAAAAAGAAAACCCGTCTAATAAATATATAAATACTACAGCAGAATTTACACAGAAAATTAATAACCAAGCTGCGTAAAGCACACAGCGATGCAGAATTTATTCGTGAGAAAAATAAAAGAGTAGGAATCTAAATACGTGGCAGAAGTTATTATCTTGTCATCAGTCCCTAAGCCTGTAAGTCTGCAAACTGTAAGGACGTATGGTTTAATGTGCTTCTAACAAAAAATAATGGATCCGGTTGTAACGACACTATTTTTGCAAAATACAATCTATTTGTAAGGTCAATTAAACCAAGAAACGTCTAATCCCGATACCAACCGAACAGATTAGACAAAAACACTTCCGTGTCAATAACACGAATACTTTCATGAAGATTTTCGACACACGTTCCGTGAAACGAAAATTTAATATGGCTAGAGTACAAATGGAAGTTTAAAAATTCCAAGTTCGATCACCGCATACGTGGCCTGTGCAAAAGATATGCATCATAAATTACGTAAACCCGTAACCACAAGTTGTTCAAAAGCAACTTCAGCTAAACTTTTACTTAACCATCATCATGCCTCAAACCGAGGCGAGCAGAAATATTCTGTTTGAAATTTCTCTTTAAGAGAAAATTTCACTCCTGATTAATATTTAAGATGGCCTTCTGTAAACATCTTTCATTAGACCTATGAATGCTATATTTTATATACATTTTAGAATATAAAATTATATCGAGTATTTTTTTACAACAAAGAGCTAAATTAACCCTGAGTTATATTAACAAAATATTTTAGTTACAAATCTCAACATTTATGGAGCGAGGTCCAAGATAAAGCCCAAAACCAGCATATTAATTTTAATTTTCATGTCTGTGAATGTGGACATGGAATATTCCTAATATGGGAACCCCTAAATTTTTCATTTGTTTCATTGTTGGCCAAAAATCAATTTCGATGTTTCACTTACCTTATAGGGGATGCACAAAAGAACGGACCATTGTTGTATTGTCAACCATATAAATAAGTGAAACACTAAACGTCAATTGACAAACCCATATGGAACGTTTAGACAAAGTTTGCAATGAATTGGGCAGTTTGTAAACAATGAAAGCAAAAAGTGAGAATGGAAATGGAAATGTGTAGCTATATTATGGGCTTGTGTTCTTTCACAAAAAAGTCAAATTATTTTTTTTATGTGAATAGTTGCCAAACGAGCAGACGGTTCACCTGATGGTTAGTGAATACCGCCGCCCATGGACATGTGCTACACCCAAGGGTTATAGAGGCGTTGACAACCTTTTGAAAATTGGGCTCCGGCATCCTCACTTACCAGACGAAACGTGAAAGTATTTGTTATACTTCCACTTTACGCTGGTCTTCTGTGAGATCGTGGTACTTACCCGGACGGGCCTGCCCATTCGTGCAACAGTCG